ACATAATTCAGACTTAATTACTAATACATAATTCAGAAATAATGATATTATTTTACGTGGTTAAAGATGTTATGCAGACAGATTTTTTCCAGTTTAGCCACAAGAATAGGATTCCGCAGGTACTCCACAATCATGTTCACTCATATCTTGATGTCGAGCCTGACGGCAATTGTGGTTTCCGTGTCTTTGCGAGTTGCATGTTGGGCGGGCGTAATAATCACATTTTGTGCGAGACAGATATGTTATGATGAGGTTATAAATAACCCGGCCTATATGGGAACATTTACTGTATGCAACCAGTTTAATGTTGGTGAGCAATTGTCTTACTTGTTATTTTTTAAAAACTTTCATACCCGTGTCTTTGTGTAGGTGGGACGGATGGGCCGAGAGCCTAGAGCGTATACGGTGGACGTGCACCGCATTAGGTCACCGGATGTCGACAGATGACTTTTATCCCCTTGCTACATATTTCAATGCGGTTGTGTACTACTTCAGATTCCGCGGTGCTGAAAATCTAAACGGCTCATGTTGGATGTGCTACCACCGAGCGCACGAGGCGGGCAACAAGACTCGAGTTCCAGATAGTTATTTGCCACCTCAATCCTTACCAACACTTCATTCGACTCAATCTACAGGGTGATTTCCCGATTCCCCCCATTCACCTCAGTTGGAGGCATGATCGCGATAGTAGTGTTATTGGTTGGGATGAACCTTTTGAGTCCAGGACTACGGCTATGGCGAACTTTGGTACCTCGGATAAGACCCACACGTGCATTTGAAGATCTGGGGTGATCTTTTGTGTGTATATATATATATATATATATATATATATATATATATATATATATTTTGGAAATTGAAGCACAGATGGTGACGTAAATTAAAATTTAAATTGCAAACAAACATAAGTGCATATTGTTCATAAGTACGAAATCATTGCATAATTGTACGTAATCATCATAAGTAGAATGTCATGGGGCTCGACTGCACGGAAGATGACATCATCCAGGCGAGTATCCCACTTCTCACCTACACCCACATCGAGCTTCTTCAAATCATCGATGCAACCTCGAGTCAACTTCTCCATCTCACGCATCCACTACAAATGTTAAATCAAACCAAATTAATCCCTTAATGATAGTATGTGTATTATTAAACAATGGATAATTTTGTTAGAGTTGAACTTACGTATGTGGTGCAGTTCTTCCCTGGGATGCGTGATGTAGACTGTACGGACTCCGGCAGTAAAAATGGATGTGAATGGCTCTGTACTCGTCGAGGTAATCTACAAATGCTGTCCTACCTCGATAGACGATACCGGCACACAATGACCGAGGCGATGCACTCCGACTCGGAAATCTAACCCAACAGCTTACATGTCTCGGCACTAGGACGCTCAACAAAATACTTGTGCGCATTTCTCCCGCGAACCGAGTAACCGGTGTGAGCGGCGCGCGAGGTATGTATCGCACATAACCGAGCCGGCGTAGCACTCTCTCCGCATGTATGGCTCCCGGAAGTCGTGGTACATAATCCACCCACCGAAGATGGTCCTGGGATGTCTTTGCACTGATCGCGACCAAATGGCTCCCATTCGACTGCAAACGTTAGCAACATTTATTATAGTGTAAAAATAAATACCCCTTACGTAATATACGGAAATGAAATATAAAGTGTACCTCTTGCTCGGTCATCGCGTCGAGCTGCGTATTTAATCTGCTGGAGACGACTATGAATAGGCCTCGGCCCCTTATAGCTAACAGGGTCCAGTCTCGGGCTCTGGGCCAACCAACAACACCTCGATGTCCTCGCCTCTTGGAGGGCTGGAAGCATGGAAAATACTCATATATCCATGCCTGGAGAAGGGTCATACAACCAGCCATCGTGGTACACCCCGCTCGACTAGCAATACCAAGCTGACGGTAGAGGAATGCTAGTGTACCGGATCCCCGGAGTACTCTCCAATATTGTCAATACCTCCGTGCAGGCTCGGTCATAAGCGAAGCACCGATCCCGCCCCACTCCTGTCAAGGAAGAGTGTCGAGGCTAACAAGATCCACACCCAAGCTTGCACTGAACAAATGGGGAGGACCCTACGACAACACTCCTCAATCAATATGTCGCTCACACCTCCGTGGCTCCATGCACGCTTTAACTCACCAACGACATCCCAAGCAATCCTGCGACTGCATCTTCAAAATCTCACCTTCCGCATGTTGCATCAACAAGTCACCATCAAGGGGAATCGCCAAAATGTGTGCCACATCATGCATCATAATGGTCATCTCCCAAACGGCAAGTGGAAAGAGTTTGTGTCGGGCCGCCACCTCTCTATGAAGGCGAAACAAGCGCAAGGTCAATGTCATCATACATGGTATCAATGAGATGATACAAACCGGTATGCTGAATCGAATCGTGCGTTCTCCGCAACCTCGCATACCATCCATGCAATCTAGACAAACTCTTCTTCGCTGGCTTAATGGTAAGGTAATCTCGTGGTTCTCCATTCCACAACTGATAAGCAGTGTGTCCAAGAAAACTAGGAATCACTGACCCATCACATGGCCCGCCAGGTACGTCGTCTGTCACAACCCAATCATCAATTTCTTCGGTAGAAACCTTAGACCGTCTGCTAGTACCTGAAACCCGAATAACGAATAGTGTATAAATACTTTATCGAATGCAATTAAGAAATTGACCAAACAAGAATGAATGCTTAAATTATTACAAATACGTACTGATGACGATGCATGTCAAGAGTAGTACTCGACCTCGCCCAAGAGTAGTACTCGACCTCGCCCAAGAGTAGTACTCGACCTCGCCCAAGAGTACTCAGAGACCGGGACGAACACCTGGAACCACCGTGAGTGTAAGTCGAATCTGGGCCGATAATCCAACAAGGGTCTTCCCCGGTAGGGTGAACTAGAGTCCGATCAACAGACGACCAATGGGGTTCAGTCCTGAGGTATCTCCAATCCGTATATCCCTCCTCTCATACGAGGAAAACGAGGATGTGTCATCCTCCTCAGCCACATCGTCCCCCCCACTCTCATAACTATCCTCTGCTGAATCCTCTCCCTCAAAATCATCATCATCATCGTCTACGTTGGCTGACTCACCAACTGGGCCAAACGTAGGATGTACATTTTTCACTTTCTTTAACTTTTTTCTTTTTCGCTCGATGTTCGGCATACAGATTGCGCGAATCGCATGCCGATGTCCGATCCTCAAGAGGCGATATCCCATCCTACAACAGCTTTCAAATTTTACACGTAACTTAGATTAATTAGTTTAATACGCTTTTATATTATTCAAATATGTAATTATAATATTATCTACTCTACATCTAAAGTGTTCAATTTATTAATAATATCTACATATTTATTTTTCTTACAACTACATAAATATTTCTTATTAACCCTAATTATCTACTAACCTCCGTATTTTTTAATTATAACTTATTTATTTAATTTTCCTATAGTAAATATTTAATTTTTTAGCCTAATTATATTAATTATACCGACTAATCCAATAAATATATTTTCTATAATTATATTAATTATAATAACTTTGAACACTCCTTATTAATTATTTGAACACTCCTTATTTTTTCATTTGAACACTCCTTATTTTTTCATTTGAACACTCCTTCAAATATGTAATTATAATATTCTCTACTCTACATCTAAAGTGTTCAATTTATTAATAATATCTACATATTTATTTTTTCTTACAACTACATAAATATTTCTTATTAACCTTAATTATCTACTAACCTCCTGTATTTTTTTAATTATAACTTATTTATTTAATTTTCCTATAGTAAATATTTAATTTTTAGCCTAATTATATTAATTATACCGACTAATCCAATAAATATATTTTCTATAATTATATTAATTATAATAACTTTCATAATAATCCAATTTAATTTACAAACCGTTAAACTCCCTAAAAATACAATTAAATTCCTAAAACTATAAAAGTATTATAACTATTCTATTTATCAAGATTAAACCTATACTAAATTAAAACTACAATTGAATTCCAAAATAAATTAAACTAATAAAAATAACTAATTAATTTCACTAATAACAAATAATTAAACTAAATTTCATAAGACAAACATTTACTAATAGTAACAATTAAATAATAATTAAATAATTAAATAATTAAATATAAATATAAATATAAATTAATTAACAAAAAAAAAAAAAACCGGCCGGCGCCGGTTTTTCGCCCAGCTCAACCTACTGGCGAGAATATTCTTCGCCACCCCATCTTCCGGTGGCGAAGAAATCGGCGCTTCATTGCCAGGCCGGCGAGGAGAACCGCGCGGGGCAACAGGCAAGCGCACGGATCTGCGCCACTCTGTGAGGGTGGCGAAAATTTTGCGCCACCCTCACAGAGCCGGCGCAGATCGTGCGCCAGCTGCTGCTGCCCTGGCGCGGTTCTCTCTCGCCCGGGCAAAGGAGTTTTTTTTTTTTTTTTTCAAAATAAACTTTAAAACAATTCAAATTCAAATTTACGTACCTTTAGTTTGCGTAGCTCATTTCGTAGCCGTTTAACTCGATCCCCCATTAAATTAAAGATTTTTAGGTATTTAGATTGAGAGAATTTGAAATGAAAGATTGATTTAGGAATTGAATGAATGAAATTGAAACTCTTTATTTATAAATTCATGTAAAGGGCAAAATGGTCATTTGGTATTTATTTAGGGCGTTGAAGGGAGATTTTTAGGGCGTTTAACAGCCTGCCAGGAGATGATATCCCTCCTTTCCAACCGGCCCCGCTTGATATAAAGGGCCGGTTGGAGATGCCCTAACAAGGAGTCAAAGACAGCAACCTATTGCATTTTGCCTCCAGTGGATTTTGGACCTACAAAATGGCGCTAAAATTCCCGCCCAATGGGTCAAAGTATTACTGTTTCAAACGGGAAAAATAAAAATAAATAAAATGTCACATTTAAAACGTTTCCTTTTTTCACTCTTGTCGTGTCCCCCATAGGCCACAATAACATCAAATGAAGATTCTTCGAGAGAAATCTTTTATTTTTCCATCAGAGATGAGAAAATCAAACCCTGTAAGTTCGTCCTTTTAGGATCTGTATGTGGAAGGAGAACCAGTTTGCTATCTATGGTTTTCTGTATAGGTTGAATGTCGCTCGTTCGTGGGTTTCGATTTAGGGTTTTGGGGTTTGCGATTTTGCGGTTCAAATCCATTCTTTGTGGGTTATTGATTAGTGGATTTCTCACCAGAACCTTTCATAGCTCTCTGATTCTTTCTTCTAATCAGAAATTTCTGTAAAATTCAATGTACCTGTCCGCCGGCTATATTTGGGAGAAAATTGATACCTGATCCGCTTCCGTTGACTCCTCTTTCTCCCATGGCGGCGGCGGCGACAGCGACGTCAGAGTAACCTCGATTTCTGCTTCTTCGGCGATCTAGTTTCATTTTACGTCCTGGAAAGGTACAACCCCGTTCACCCCTTTTGTCGTTTCTCCAACTTTTACTACATTCATGCTTTAGACTGTTGGCCTAAATCGAAGGCGTCTTGTACATTCTGCAGATTCGATCAGTCTTTCTCTGGAGAAACGTAGTCGAATTGATCTGCCGTGCAAAATCAAATCGGGGATGATGCCGCCGGACGAATTGATGTTGGAAATTTTGACCAGGCTTCCTGGTAAGCAACTGGGGAAGTGCAAATGCGTATGCAAATCTTGGCAATCGCTGATCGGGGGTCCTGTTTTTATGGATATTTACCGGAATCGTCAACGGCGGCTGATATTGTACTCGGCATTGAGGCCCAGAGAGAGTTTATATTCACGCCTCAGTTGCTTTTCCTCAACCCTTGGCCGACTTAAGGAGTCCACTGAAGAATTCAGTTGCCTAAGTGAACTGCAGATCAAACCTTTCTATTGTACCCAAGCAGTCAACGGCCTGATGTGCATTATTGAAAATGATTGCCGCATCTCTGTTTACAACATCTGTACTGGTCAGTTGATGAGTGTTCCTGAACCAAATGATTGTGGTTCTGATACCAGATCAACTTTTCATTTTGGATATGACCCTGTATCGAAGGTCTATAAATTGATAAGGTTGATGTGCTCCGGTAATTCCCGACTGACCCAAGTTGAGGTTATCAACTTGAGGCCCTCTAATTCATCGGCCACATGGAGGAAACTGGACAATGATGCCTGCGATCTCAGTGATTTCCGGTATCTGGTATCTCAATTTCTTTTCACGGATGATGGGTTCCTATGGTTTTTATCAGGGCTTGATTCACTATTCTCTTTCGATCTCAACAAGGAAAAGTTTAAACGGATTAAGCTCCCTGAAGGTATCAGAGATGAGACACAAACATTCAATTTAATTCAATCGATGGGACGTCCAGCCATGTGGGTCTTGCCTAAGGCAGCTAAGTCCTCATGTTTTATACTCTTCGTGCTAGAGAACTATGAGGGTGACATGTGGAACAAGTATTGTGTTCAATTTCCGGAAGAACTTGGTGGATTTCATAATTTTACCATCGACATGGGAAACCTCCCTACTGGTGAGATTTTGTTGACCAATGTTATGGTGAGAAGCCAGGACCACTACATGTCTGTTTATGCTTTTGATCATCACACAAGTAAGTTTGACCATTTTCTAATCAGAGAATTCCCTAAGAGGCCTCATGCGTATGTGCGTGGATCACAAAATCATGGACATGAATGTGCCAAGATATCCTGTTTACATGATAATAATTGTCTCTATCTGTCACTAAATGATATTCTAAGTAGTGGTGGAGTTTGAGCTGATTGGAGGTAGCTGATTTGGGAATTTGCACGATATTGATGAATGAATGCTGCTTTGAGGTGTACTGTCAGTACTTTTGTCATCAACATTGTTCGTTCAAAATGCCTGCTTTGAACTTCTCCAAAATGCCTGTTCGTTCTTGCTTCCCTTTAATCATTATCTTGTGGTTTCAAAGTGGATTCTGCCGAATTTCAGGGTTCTATTTAACATTTAGGCTGGACATTGTTCAGTTGATGTGTAATCTATCATATTGATTAAGTAGGCTCGTTTTGAGCATTAAGCTCTCTTCAGTACCAAGTCTTGTTTGATGTTTGTCTTTCTGAAGAAGTACAATTTTAATATTCTCGCGAAGCTACTAGCATTGTCTCTTATTCTGATATTTGTCAGAATGCCTCATGGTGATGCATTAACATCCAAAATGTAGGGTAAAAATAGTAGTATTATAATGTAGTTGAAAATGTAAGTTGCGCAAGATGTTTGGTAAATTACACCAAGCTATAGTTCAGGACTGGAGAACCGATCTATAAGGAGATTAAAAATCTCATGTCAACCCGACCATGCTTGCTCTAAGTGCTTGCTGCTTAACAAAAGGGATTTTCATCATATCCTGATTGAAACGATGAAAAGAGAACTCCTGGTAGCTCGTTAGATGTTTGTAATCACACATGATGGAAGTGAAGATTTGGTAGGAGAATTTTTTAAATGCTGGTCTAGATGGATCAAAGTTGGTCATACAGTTTCTCAGCTTCTGAAGGATTTCCAAAAGCGGCTACTTATGTGGCAGATTACTAGTGTAATAAGGAGTAAAATCATTAGCAAAATTGTTGTCCGTAGGTCTAGCATATATTTCAAAACTCTGCCTTTTCCTGTCCAGAAAACTGGTTATTTCCAAATTCCAAATGCTTTCGTCCCAAAATAAAATTTTCTTTGTTGAACCATGTGTATGTGTACAGAACTACTTCATAAGGTAACCAAGTAAGGAGCTCACTATAGCTACCAGCGGACGTTGGCCTATCTCCACCAGGAAAGATTGGTTCAATTCAGAAAGAATGCTAGTTTCAGACAACTGAGTCAATGAATTACATGAATATTTATTTCTACATACTCGTTCCTCAATCCTTATTTGATTCCAGATATTAAGGGCTTGTATGGCCAACATCTTATTTTGCATTTTGGTTTAGTGTTTGGTTTGAGTTTGAGATTTGATTTAAAATGTGTTTAAGAAAAAATTTAAAAAGTTGTTTGGATAAATTTTTAATTAAAATAATAATTTTTTATACCACCGCCCAAATTCTGGCACCTTCCAGCAGCGTCAAGAGGTGGTCCGGCGGCAGAGGTAGGTGGTGAAGGTGGTCCAGTGGTGGTAGAGGAAAATTATGTAAAAATAATTTTTGGAATATTTTTTAAAAAGTACTAAATTAAAATGTTGTTTGGATAGTATATTAGATTTTGTGTTTAAGAGGTAAAATGAGACAAAAAAGCAAAATAAATGTTGGCCAAACAAGACCTAATCCTTTTTCAACAAATCTCATTTTCGGAAGTTAATTACAAACTGGTAGCCATTTCCTGGATCATTACTGATCGTCAAACCTGGCCGTAACCTGAAAATGGGAGTTACATCCACGGTTCCACAACATCATAAATCTTGGCCATGCCCCTGATTCCAGAAAATGATCTGCTAAAGGAATAAGAAACCAATGACTATTAGCTGTTGTTGCAGAGTCGAGAATCGAGTTTTGGAAAGATTCTGCTACCTAGTTGTTTTCTGATTTTCTCTTTCACCGCAACAAGAAACAAAGAAAAAGCTGCATAGCTTGTTAAAAGTGACCAAATGATCTGCCCCATGAAAAATGAACAGTTTTGTAGCAGGAGTCTAGGATATAGGGTAGGGAGGACCCCAGATTTTTGCATCAGTAGGGCTAAATGATGGATATGTTGGGCAGTTCAATTATGAGAGAAGAAGTGGGTCATATGATAAAGATCCCCCTCCATGATTTCTTCTGATATGGGCTAACCTATAAAAACCTGTTCTCTGTTCTGTTCCGTGTATTTAAACTGGAAAAAATAGTAGTATTCTTCATCAACCCCACATTCGGATATAACAACAAACTTGTACTGAGATCGGATAACAGTTAATTAGGCTGTCGTTTCAAGATCAGAAATTTCAAAATTTTTGTGATGCGAAAATTGTGAATATGCATATCCATACACAAGGACAAAGAGACAATGAATCATGGCAATCAAATCAAACCAGACCACCTAGCTAGTTTTTACCCAGTCCTGTCATTTCAACGACTCAATATGAATTCCATCACCTGTGTTCTCTTAATTAATTGTCGGCTATCTCCTTGTTCTCTTAGATCATGTACCAAACAGAGATTAAAAGCTTATGGTTGCTTGGTTTACACAGAAATTTGCAAATGTGATACCATTCATCATCCAATATATCCATCTGTTGAAATTGCAACTGATGGGGGTACTAGTTTTGTTGAAAACCAAAATCAACTGGGAGGTGAAGTTCGTTCACACGATTAGAGAAAATAATATGTGTGGGGATAGCCTCGCCAAGCAAGCTTTGAATGTAAATAAGGGAATATATTTTTTTGATTCACCCCCATGTTTTATGTCTCTGATATTAGATGTAGAAGCAGAGATGCCCTCTGCTATGTAATCTTGTTTAACCTTAGCTATTAAGCTAAGTTTTGTTTAACCAAAAAAAAGCAAAATCAACTCTGATGAAAGGTTTAAGACAGATTGTAACATGTAATGTAACTACTCTTTTCATTATACTAATGAACATAACTTTTTGACAAAGGAAAAGACTAGAAACTAAAAAGTAGAGAGATCTCCTAAAAATCACATCTTTGCAGAAACAATGCTAGTTTTACTCTATATTGGGTTACATTAAAGTTAACCATCTTTATATTAGTACTGATAAAATAATCATTCCTGAGAATAAGATTGCTGGTATAATTGCTCTCTAACAAATTCTGAAGACCTCCCAAGCTTACCAATCACGGCATTCTTGAAGCTTAAAACTTCCTGAACCTGGGAGCAAGACCTCTGCATTCTAACCCCACTCAGAGAACTTCTGGACTCCATCATTTCATGGAGGGATAGCCTCCGCTTTGTACCCGGGTCGGGTCTTTGTTTCGGAGCACTGTGTGACCTCAGCTTAGCATTAAACGACTGCGTGTTAGCCATGTAATTCGGGTAATTCCCATAATTCGGACCTCCAGCTCTGAACAGGCTTTCCACGCAGACACTCTTGGCCGGTGTAACCGGCGGGTTCGACCCGCAAGAATGGGAGAATCTGGGAGTGCTCTGGGCGGTGGAGAACCGGCAGTCGTCCACAATCAGTCCCCAGTCGGAGTCTTGGGAAGCCCGGCAGTCGGGTACGCATATTCTGGGAGGCGGAGGCGGCGGAGGAGGAGGATTCCGGCATGTGCACGAAGGAGAGGATTGTGTTTGGTGGTGGTGGCGATTTGAGTCATCCACGCCGGAATCTGCAACCCAGGGATTAAGGCTGCTTCTTCTGGACCTCGATTTCGGCCTCCCTGTATCTATCTCCACAATTTTTGGGCTCTCATCAATCAGGTTATAGCTATTATTAGTACTATCAAACGACCCAGAAAGCTTTCTGCTATGGAATGAATTTTGTCGGCCCTCATCGAAACTTTCCTGCAAAATCAATCAGGGAACCAAATTAATCGACACATTTCCCAATCCAACAAGAAGGGTCTAATAAATTCATCCCATTTTTAGCGAATAGAGATGATTCTGACCAAGGATTGTCTGGCTGGATTCTGTGGCTGAAAAGTTTGACCGGAATTCAGGAATCCACGAGTTCTTTGGGCACGAACATTGGCTTGTGCTCTGATTAAAGCTTGCATGCTCTGAAGTGTAGCAGCAGCTTGTTTGCGCACCAGATATCCTCGAACCAATGCTTGTAATTTCACTAGCCCTTTCAAAGCTCTCAAAGCCTTCCTGGCCTATATATCACATTGTCCAAAGTTTTGATTTTTAGTTTTGAGAGTTTAAAGAAATTAATTCATTACAGAACACAAAGAAAAGACAAGATAAAAGAGGATGCTATGATGATGTAATAAGCCATTATTCAGGAAGAAGAATGTTTGCTTCTTGTATAAAAAAACAAAGCTAATTAATCCAAAAATTACCAAGAATCCGCGAAAAACAGTTTGAATTTTCGTAACGGCCCACTTCTCCCTGCTACCGCCAAACAGAGTATTTCCCCTGCCTTGGCTGGTTAGTCTCACCACCGCAACGGCAGCCTGTGCGGCGGCGACGGCGGCATCAGCCGCCGCAGCCGTGGCGGCAGCAACGGCTATGGCGTGTTTGCTTTGTTCCTTATCCGAATCTCCGCTGCTGTAAAAGGACCTCAACCATGCAGCCTCTGCCGGAGTAATGTTTGGTGGGATGGTGTTTGGATTCGAGCACAACCCGTCATTGTCCCTTCCGGAGTGGCCCAAGTTCGCTGCTTTCTTTTCCTTCTGATGGTGTCCTGCACCGCCGGCGCCGCCGGAATTCGGAGCTTCCTTTTGAACCTTATCTTTCTTTATCCCAAACAAATTCTTCAACCACCTCGTAGCCCTCCCCATTTTTTTTTAATTAAGGAGAGAATTTAGTTCAGCTCTTCAATTACTTTTACCAAGGCTCTGTAATAAGAGTTGAATCTGTAAAATTCTTTTGGTCCATTTTAGCTCGTAACATCTGCAAATGAAAAGAGATATAGAAAGTGGAGTTGTAGGGAGAGGAAAAAGAGAAGGTCAAGTGAAAAAAACTAGATGGAAAATGTGTGAGTAAATTGGAGTTTGAAAGTACTGGGAAAAAGACCCAATGGCTAAATAAAAGGAAGATGGGCTCTTTTTTAAATTTTTGGTGAAAGTTTTTGTCCAACTTGAAGCCTAAAAGTAACGTATGCTAAAATGGAAAAGTGGGAAACCGGGAAAAAGAGGCTAAATAATGGACCAATTGGTGATGGGAAAAGGAAGGAATTAAGTCGTGGATTGTCAAAATTTTGTGACCAAAAAACTCAAAACTTATGTTAGGTGAATTGAGACCATAAATCTCAAAAATTTTCTGTCCGTTGAAGAGTTTTTAACCGATTGAGAAAATCTTGTATTGTACTCGGGGTGTGGGGATACCTCCAAATTTTGAACAAAAAGAAAGAAAAAAATGTAGTATTGCACAACAAAGTTGATGAGTGATTTGAATAAACTAGTTTGTAGTTTTTGATAGAAATAGTAATATTCTAACAAACTTGAAACTTGTCAATTGTCATTCACTATTTCGTATCATCAATAATGAGTTGATTACCCTAGCCTAATCCTAATTGGGAATGCAATGAAGGGTATGTCTTGAATGCCCAAATATAGGCCCACATGTAGTTACACTTCAAAACCAATTAGTGATAAGATAAATAGTACGTGGGGTAAATATGTTGAGTTCAAGTGTTTCCTTAACATGAAAAATATTCATTCAACACGCCCCTCTCAAACCCAATGAATTTGGAAGGGTAATTTTTATACTTTTTTTTTTCAGTCTTGTGATCGGTTATTTTCCCGGGTAAACCGTCACTTGTCGGGCCAGTCAAAGTTTAAAGTCAAATTCGAAATTTTTCCGTGGGTTGGTCATGGGGTATATATGTTGGGTTTAAGTGTTTCCTTTCATTCATGTGAGACAAAGGAACATGAGAAATATTCAATCAACACGCTCCTCTCAAGCCCAATGGGCTTGGATGGGTAATTTTTATACTTTTTTTTTTAGTCTTGCGATCGATTACTTTCTCGGATCCCAATGGGCTTGAATGAGTAATTTTTATATATTTTTTTTAGTCTTGCAATCGTTACTTTCTCGGATAAACCGTCACCTGTCGGGTCAGTCAAACCTCAAATTTCTTCTGTGAATTTCCACCTTGCCCCACAAGTCTCACAAATCCGCAGATTAAAACCTGCTCTGATACCATCTTGAAGGTCCAAATATAAGCACACATATGGTTCTACCGCAAAACCAATTGGTAATGAGGGAAGTAACACATAAAGTATATATGTTAGGTTTAAATGTTTCCTTCCATCCATGTAAGACAAAAGAACACGAGGCATATTCATTCACCAGTATCAAACAAAATGAAATGATGGAATTTATGGTTAGTAGAACATAGTATAATTTCATAAAAAATAAACTGGATAGGATACTCGGGTGTATCAAGTGAGTTATTACACAAAATAAGATATAGTACTGAATAAATATTTGTGATACTTCTTCTGCTACAATTATTTTTAATTTTAGTTTATTTTGTACTATAAATAACAATATAAGTTGGACAATAATTTCGGGACGGAGGGAGTACAAAATAAGTGAAACAATGACTTCAAATTGCGGGAAAAAATTGCTACAATGCACCATTCAACAGCGTAGATATCGTAAACATGCATGACGGTTTAAGGCTTAATTCGGATTCAACAACCACAGATTAACCATTTGGCTTCGAAACTATCAAGTCTACAAGATGAGATAATTTGGTGGAAAAAAACTTTTGGAGGGAAAAAAAAAAAAAAACAGAAGGGGAAAAGGAGGTACAGGATTACTTGGTTAACAGCGCACGTAAAATTGACCAGCTTACTACAATCAGAAAAAAGAAAATATATGTACAAAAACAGTACCATAAGTCAGGGATGTCCTGGAAGACTACGCAAAGAAAAAAAAAAGGATCTGTAATAGGAGACAAGAAGGTGCGGCTGAGGCTGCAGGGAATCAAGGGGATTGTAATAATCACACAAACCCACAAAGCCAGAAATGAGTAATCCCTTTACCTTAAAAATCATTGAGCTAATCAAACCCAAAAATCCCCATTAAAATATCACAAAGAATCTTAAGAATGTGACTATAAAGTACGGTCTATGGTTCGTAAAAAGGGTTTTTGGGTCCCGAATTTTCATTCCTCCAATTGAGAACTCTGAGGAGGTCCTTTATCGAGAAAAGGTTTTTGAAACTTAAAACAGTAAAAGAAAGAAAACCTAAAGCAAAGGTAGATTTGCTTTTCTGGAGCAACGTGTCCTTTGAACAACAAAGCAACAAAAGGAAGTAAAAATATATATTGAAATTTGAGCTTTCGAAAAAAAAAAACATCTGAAATCCTTCAACAATTTGCTGAGAAGAAAATTACTTGCATAGTTTCATGATTTTTCATTCATATTCTCATCGTTACAAAAATTCGCATGTCAATGGTTCTTGTAATCTAACAATTTAAGTTAATGGCGGGATAAAACGGTCCGACAGTTTGTCATACTATATAAAAAAAAAAAAATTTAATGGGGACAACAAAAAAAATGTTACTAGATGATCTTTATCTAAGATTTACAAGAATAATATAGGGATGATATATAGCTTTTTTTTAAAAAAAAAATTAGAAGCTGTTGAAGTATTTATCTCATATTGGTGTCTGGAGACACTTTGTATCAGTATATAAGCATCATGGGCCACTCCCCTCATTGCCAATTGGTTTTGAGGTGGAACCCCATGAGCTTCTATATGGTATCAGAGCGGGCTCGGCCTGTGGTGATTTTAAGCCCACGATGTTATTCCATGGCCCAATTTAAGTCCGCAACGTTATTCCGCGGCCCGTGATGTTATTCCATCATGATGTTATTCCGCGATTTATTTCCTGATCCTGGTGATTTAGTCCAAGCCCGTTGGGCTTGAGGGGGAGTATTGAAGTATTTATCCCACATTGGTGTCTGGAAACACTTTATATCAGTATATATGTATCATGGACTACTCCCTTCATTGCCAATTGATTTTGAGGTAGAACCGCATGAGCTTCTATAGAAGCCAAGGCTTAGGAAGGGATGATATATAGTTGAAAGTTGAAACATGAAAGCTTGAAAAGTGTCATTTTCAACCCTCAAAGCATCAGCTCAGACAGCAGCATTACATTGGATTTCTGACAACTCTCGTGAACGCTTACGCCACAATTGTATTGCAAATATCACTTCCTACGAATCCAATTTTTTCACTTTTTTTTTTCTTTTTCTTTTCTGGGGATGATATCTTCATTTCCCTTCTCCATATACTTTTGTACTACGTTCCTTTCAATTAAACATTATGTTCATGCAATAAATATTCTAATTATTCCTTGTGATGAATGATGATCCACACACCATATGGGGTACACTTGAGGACCAAAACAAAAACAATGCTAGAGAATGTAGTATTTCGGTAAAGGAACCCAGTCCATTGTGTGTGTGTGTGTTGGGGGGAGGAACCCCCGCTAACGCAGTTTCAAATTTGGAATGTGTACCAAACCCAAATTTTGTTTGATTACAATGTCAAACAATTTCGTCACCTAATTCTACTGAATTTCCGACCATGTTTTTCAACCTTATGATGACACATTAAAGTAATAAATGTTTTTTTATTTTATTCCTTTTGTTCTATCTTAATTATCAATTTTGTTGGACAACAAAATCATATATTCTCACTGTCCCAAAATTATTGTCTAGTTTAAATTTTTAATTTTAGTTCAATTTATGTTAAAACTAAAACTCCAAAGTGGACAGTAATTTCGAGACGGAGTGAGGTTTAAAGTAGGGCAAAGGTCCAATTTGTAGTCTCAATATCCTAGTGCCATTACACATGGTTTTTGTAACAGTTTTTCTCTGTTTTTAAAAAATAGACAGAAATCATACATGAAACGAAGATTTAATAGTATCACAATAGTCTGTATTTTTTATTATTTATCAACATATATTATAATTGCAGAATGTAGACTTGGGTTTGGTAGTCCTTTTAAGTATTAAATATGAGTTCCCTCTCCCCCCTCTCTTTTTCAAACCAAGAAAATGAAAAGACTTTGTGTTACATTTGGTATACCTTAAATGTTATGACCTTTGATCTTTTTTCATTAATTTTTTTTAATTTAAAGAGACTTTATGTGTTAAAATTGTGTTTCTTTACTCTTCTAACCTTTGATCTCATTCTATTAATTTTTTTCTTTTATTTTAAGTTTAAATATTATACACAAATTAATATTTACTATTAGTTCAATTTTGATTGGCCATGGTTTCAAGTATTTTTGTAGCTTCAAATTTTTCCTGTATCTTTTCTTCTTCTCTTCTTTTTAAGATTTTATTATTTAGAATTAGAAAGATTATTCCATAACTCATATATAATACTAAAATTTTTTTATTTTAAATTTGTCAATATATATAATTCTCAAAAATAGAGTTTTATCACATCTATTTGTTTTTTCTTTCAATTGTTTGTCATTTATGCTCGATGACCTTTCCATCTCAACCTCATTGAAGGTAATTCCTACTCATTATTTTTACTCATTTCTTGTGAAACGTTACGATTTTTTTCTTTTTTTTTTAATATTTTTTTCGATTGTAATCTATTGCTTATTTTGTATAAGTATGCTTTTTTTTAGAGTTAGAATAAAATTTGTATTTATACTGAATTATGAAGAGTATTTTTCACTATATTAGTACGACTAATGTACGCGTGAAGCACGTTAACTCCCTCTAGTTTTTAAATAATTGTCGCAAGTATAGAATTGTAATATTATTGGACGACTTTTGTTGGAAAAATTTTCTTCCCTTACATTTCTGTCTCAAAGATGAACGACCCATGACTGTTGCTCATCTACATTATTCTACGGTAGACGCCCAAGCGTGTCTCAGATTAGTACTACTTTCAACTGTACCAGAAAAATCGAAACCTTTTATTATTTTATGTTAAGTAATACTTTCAGCGGTTAGATTTTTTTTTTTTTTTATACGGTATGAAAGATCAATTATTGTCTCTCCATCGCAAATCCTACAACAAATTCTTCTCATTTGATCGACATACATTTACAGACTTTGAAAATTTATGAATATGTAAACATGTCTACGTACATATTATTTTGCCACACAAAAAAAAAAAATGAAATGAACACGAAAAAAGCAATTGTTATTTTGCTACACAAATGAATGTAAAAGCAATTATTCTGCAAGTTCTTGCCAGATCTTTTTATTCAATTAATCCACAAATCTAATTGAAAGCAATGTTTACCGGAATGAGATTCGTCGACCTTACCACGTGAACCCAGGTTTCTATCTTTGCTAAAAAGGGCTCTTTTTATTGAAGCTTTGACCTCATCGAGTTCCCTTTTTTTTTTTTTGAAAAAAATT